TGTCTATTAGTATGAGTATAATAATTCGAGGTCTAATTCAAACAGAACCCTTCCTAGAAGGTGGCCGTGTAGATTAGATTTTTTAATACTCTACTAATATTTTGTAACTCAACTTGTACTATTTAATTAATATTAATAAAACTATAGGCTATTCGCCTCAATTTTTTTTTTATTGTCTTCAAAAGTTCAAATTTAACTTTTAAAGTGTGAAATTTAAACTTTTATAGTTTTAAAGTTTGAGTTTAAATTTTCAAACTTTTAAAATTTAAAGTGTGAAATTTAAACTTTTATAGTTTTATAGTTTTAAAGTTTGAATTTAAATTTTCAAACTTTTACAATTAAAAGTGTGAAATTTAAACTTTTATAGTTTTATAGTTTGAATTTAAATTTTCAAACTTTTAAAATTTAAAGTGTGAAATTTAAACTTTTATAGTTTTGTAGTTTTAAAGTTTGAAATTTAAATTTAAATTTTCAAACTTTTAAAGTGTGAAATTTAAACTTTTTATAGTTTAAAGTTTGAACTTTGAATTTAAATTTTCAAACTTTTAAAGGGTGAAATTTAAACTTTTATAGTTTTAAAGTTTGAATTTAAATTTTCAAACTTTTATAGTTTTATAGAAAGTTTGAATTTAAATTTTCAAAGTTTTAAATTGTGAAATTTAAACTTTTATACTTTTAAAGTTTGAAAGTTTGTATTTAAAACTTTAAAAGTATAATTTTTTTTGTGTAATGTTCCTAATTTTTTAATTTTAATAAAAAAAAAATTAATTATAACAGTTGGGACCCGGTTTCCGGTCCGGTCCGGTCCGATACCGATCCGGGACAGGTAGGTACACTGATTTTTTTCCGGAATTACCGTTCCGGTCGTCTCGGTTCCGGTTCGGTTTCGGCCCGTGGTGCCCAGTTCCGTTCCGATCCGTCCCGGTTCCGGTCCCGTTGCCAGCCATAGGTGTGCTAATGATTATTATGTTTAGGCAAGGGATAGTTGAATGTTAGATTTGAAAGCAGAAGGAAGTTAATTAATTTGAGTTCTTTTTGTTTGATTTGAATGGAGTTCATGGTTTGTTGTCACTAGTTTGTAACCAGTGGCTTCAAGTTTTTAATATTAATATTTTGTTCTCATGTTATAAATTAAGTTTTGATATATCAGGATAGGTAATTAAATATTAGATGTATTGTATTATTTAAATTTCATAAGAGTTATATTATTTGGAGGAATTAAGACTTAACCCTAGGCGTGAAATTTAGAAAATACGAGAATTGACATATTAATTGGCATCAAAATTTAAGAAATTGATTATAGATTTGAGTGGGTTATTGAGTTAAGGTTAGATAATAGTGATATGGGTGTCTACAGACTCGTTTTCTCAATATTGTATACTTGATAGATTGGAAACTAATGGAGGCATTCCAAAAAGGAAAATCATTGGAGAATTAGCTTGTTTGACTTCGGTTCTTTGGTGGAGGTTGGTTATGGTTTATTCTATGTGATAGAGAGACTATTAATAGTGATTTATAGTCATTGAGTAATGTTGTGAAATTTTCTATGTACTTAATTGTTGTGGTTTTGTTGATTTATGTGTTGTTGTGATGGATCTGTAATCTCAAGACCGCGAAATCCATAATCTTGAACTTGTTCTATTAAAGTGATGCCTTGAATAAAGAAAGCTTGATGAAATATTGTTAAGAAAGTGGAAAGAGATGATAAAGAATGATGAATTAACTATATTGTTGGATCGGGTGCCACATGCCGACACAATATATTTGGATCGCGTACCATGAGCCAATACGATATTATTGAATCGGGTGTCACGTTCCAGCACGATAAAATTAAGGAAGAACATATTAGAATAACTTAATGTACTCAATCTCAAAGAACTCAAATTCCCAAAAAAGTGTGGTGTGGAGTCTTGAGTCCTCGTGTGTTATTGATATTGTGGATTGATTACGTACTTGCTTTGATGTTATTGTCACTTGCTCATGTTGTTTGTTATCTGTCACATGTTGCTATAGTTGATTTCATGTTATTACCTAATACATATTGGTTTCTATTTTGAATCGGTCGATGATATCTACTCAGTACATGTTGTCCTATATTGACCCCTACTTGTGTTTTTCTTCGTTTTCCTTTTGTGGAGTGCAACAAATGTACCAGTGACTTTGACTTGCCCTCTGCTCTAACCAATCTCTAGCATATCAGAATCCAGGGTGAGTTATTCTTTCTAGCTCGTGTTGGATTCTCTCGGTTATGACATGATGTCCTTAGTTTTTAGACACAAATAATTGTATTCATTTATTATGGTTTCTTTGATACTCGCAGACTTAGTGTTTGAGAATTGAATGTCCTTGATGTGATGAATTTCAGGTTCTGGGTATGACATGTAATAGACTCTGGTGGATTTTTGTTTCTTACATTAATAAGATTTGAGCTTCTACATTATGGTTGTATTTTGTAAGTTGAACAATAATATAAGTTGGGAGTTGTTGGTTAGCCCACTTAGAAGGTTAAGTTTGGGTGTCACTCATGACCCATTTTGGGTCGTGACATATGGAAACTTGCGGCACATAACTTGGAGAGGAAGACTTCTTTATATGTGAAAGACTTGTGAAGAGCAAAACTTTTTTTTTGTCTGTATTTCCTCTTTTCTTCTTCTTTTTTCTAGTCTTGTGAAGACTCCTTTATATAGTTGTGAGCTAGAGTTTTGGGGGGTATTTTGGTCTTCAAGCAATTTTAGAGTATCTTGAACTTGAAGAGCATAAGTCCGGCTTGTCTTGTCTTGTCAACTTAACAAACTAGCCCAAATATAATTTAGATTTTATTTAAGTCATATAATTTTAACTCAAATATTAATCCAACTTTATTAGCCAATAAATTAACTTGATCAACGTATCATGAATTTAAAAATTAATTCAAAATTTAATATGAATTTATAAATGAAACTTCACTACCTATAGGTTCGTATAAGATGCTAGTTCAATTTTTTTTTACATTCATTTATATTGATTTGTATAAATATTATGGGTTCTTTGTACATGAATATCACAACTAACTTGAGTTATCTCCTCTATCAGGTGAGATAAATTAATTTAAAAATTATAATCTCAGAGCGCACCAAACGATTCCTAAGATATTTTTTTTATTTGTTATATAATTAATAAAATAGCGTCGAAGCAACTGTTTAGTAGCTTTATTTTTAAAGTAATCCTCCCCTTCTTTTTAATTTTATATATGATTTTTCTGTGAATGTAAAAAGTTTTGGTTGATTTTCTTTAAAAGAAATTTGGATAAGGTATTCCATCTTATAATAAATGATCTAAAAGCATAATTGGCTTTTCAATACTGGTAAGGTCAAGGTGATAATTAAAGTTTCATTATTTTTCTCTACGTTTTTTTAAAATATCAATATCCAAAAGACAAGATAATTCATGTAAAACAAATAAGTTTGGCTAACTAAGATGTGTGCACTATTTAAGATACATAATATTTCTTTTCTTCAACAAATTATTACTATTTACTTTTATTATATAAACTGGAACCATTTTTTACACTATTGGTGTAACATGTCACTTATCTTATATATATATATATATAGGTAAAGAGGATTGTTCATGAAAGGGTAAAGTCTTTAAGTTGGTTTAATTTTTCTTTTATTTCTTTAGATTCTTTGTGGAGATGTTCTAGTCTTTTATTAATCTCTTCAACTGTACTATTGTTATTTATGTTATTATTATTTGCTATAATCCTTTGTAATTTTGTATTTATATCTAATTGTTGCATTTTTAAGAAATCGAAATTAATTTCTATTTTTTCTAATAATTTTTTGTTGATTTTGCAGTCTTTCTAAAGTTTCCATTGACTTTAGTATTCTATCGTCTTTTAACTGAGTGTGTTCTGCTAAATTTATTATTAGGTTTGTAATAGTGTTTAAGTGATTATTATCGCTATGTAAAATGTGGTGTCCTTCTGTAAAGTTATTATTGAACCATGCTTTAGCCTTCTATATTTCTTTTCAGAAATTATTTCTAAGTCTAAATATTATAAATTCTTAGTACTTCCTATTGTAGTATTTTAAAGCAAGATACCAAGTTTTTTCTTTTCTATCGTATTGTTTTTGTTGGATGTAATGGTCAATTCTAGACCCTATTCTTGGTAATTGTAAATCTATTTGTCTAATTTTTTGGTTTATTGAATTTATTTCTACAGATGATAATAAGCTTGGATATAACTGTCGTTGTTCTAAATATAGTTGTCTTTGTTCTATTAGAAAGTCGTATATACTTGAATAATTTTCTTTTATTTTCAAAAGATACCAGTGATATTCTTGGTCAATTATTATTTGTCTTTCGTAAGGTCAATACTTTCTTTTGTCTATTCTGGTTGGCATATATTTAAAATATTAAATGCTTTTATCAAATGTTCTACTGGTCTCATACAAGATTGTAACATAAGCTTTCTCTCTCTATATATATATAACATAAGCTCTCTCTCTTTCTCTCTATATATATACTTGATGCAAAAGTTTGGACAAATTCGGGTCCAATATATATTATTTTACTTGTTTTAATTTTGTAATTTTATTGTCAATTATTTTTATAATATTTTAAATTTACTTTTAAATAATATATGTGGCACATGTGATATTTTGAAAATCCTAATTTACAAGCGGTCACAATAAATCTAAAATGACTAAATTATTTCGAACGTAGTGAATATTTTTGGAAAGTACGCACGTTGACCGAGACATGAATTCTAAAAAGAAATATAATATCGTGATTAATTAATTATTTTTTAATATTATTCTATCGATGAGTGTTGGATTTTCTGAGTGTAATCCCTTCCATTTTTTATAGGTAAATAAATATCCCAAAATTTTTATTTTTTAAAAAAAGGTGCAGCATTGACATAATATAAATAAATAAAAAAGAGCAAAAAACATCTGGTTAACATTATTTATGAAAAAAGAAATTATGTAAAAAGAAAAAAAAAAACAGAACACAAATAGTAGTTTTGGAGCTTGTAAATCTGCAGCAACAGTGACAGTTGTGTACTCACAGCCATGGCGGTTGCCCCAAATTCGAAGTAGAGCCATTTTTTCTGTGCTTTTACTGATCCTTTGGACCTTTTTTTCTCCATCATATGATAGGGGAAATCAAGAAAGGATAAGAATTTGTGTTTCAAAATCAAGAAATCGAGTGATGGAGGGAAGTGGAGAAGTGGGTTTTGTGAGAGCAGATCGTATAGATCTGAAGAGTTTAGACGAACAATTACAGAGGCATCTGAGCCGAGCATGGACTATGGAGAAACAAAAGAGTAACAAAGGAGAAGGAGGAGGAGAAAATTACAAGGATAGAGAGATCCCCATTAAACATGCTTGGGAAATTGACCCATCTAAACTAATCATCAAAACTGTCATTGCTCGGGGAACCTTCGGTACTGTTCATCGTGGTATCTATGATGGCCAAGATGTAGCTGGTAATTTTTCTTACTTTCATGAATTGCCACCGATCTTTGTTTGAGTAATATTAAATTTACCCTCCACTGGATAATTTTGAATCATTGTCAAAACTGGAAACCTAAATCTGTGTATATTGACACATGGAATCTAAGTGCTTACTGTTTGGTGTTAGCTTTGTCTGACATAGAATTTTGACGGAAAGAAACAGAAAATGTTTTATGTTGTCAAGTATAGATGTATAGAACTATTGGATGAATGGAGATCTTGTTTTGAATATGAAAGACTTGCTCCACTTGTGAGTATGTGATGTAAAACAAGTCCAGATTCTATTTGTAATGGCTGTAGTACCAACATGTTGGCTTGTATGAATCCACCATGAGTCAAGAAACCAGATCCCCATGACTATATTAACAATAATAAGAACAGTAAACCTTAGAGTAAGGAGCAGGGATGCTTTATGTGGAAACCTCCTTGCTCAAGGAAGGAGAAAACCACGACTTGTCACATAGGATTTCACAACAACTTCCACACTAACTTCAAGCAACTTGTGAATACAGATTCCGGTAATCACAAAGGATTAAACTCTTAACCATATACCTTGTAACACCTCTATTACAAGTCTCTGAACAATAGCCCTATCGCCCATCTAAGTTTCTCAGGCTTGGGCGCGAGTGTTTGATACGGGTGCGGATTCAAAGGTCAAATCCTTCATGATCTAATTTTTAAGATTCGGTGATATGGATCCATATATGGATAAGGGTGCAGGGATTCACCTAAAAATAATCAAAATATGTAAAAATAGAGTTATAAAACCTAAATTATGAGATATTATGAGGAGAACTTAGGAGAATCTTGGAATGAGATTAAAGAAAAAGGAGTGACATAGAAATTTCTATATAAAAGGTAGTCCATTTTCTTCAATTTCACCTTAGCTTTTGTATTGATTACAGAAATCATAAAAATAATCCGGACTTTTCCCATCGATTTTGGTCAAAGTACCCAAAATCGATTGACCAAATTGGACACGGACCCCATACACACACCCATGTTGTGTCGACACGGGTGCGGCACCAAAAGTGAAGAGTCCAAGCAACTTAGTTGGCCACTATATTAACTACCTCTAGGTAACATAGACTTCAATCAAATACACCACAACTAACTCTAGCCATGAACTCGACTTCACAATGAATACAACTGAAATGATCTATGTTCCTTTATAGCATAGGAATAAATCTTACAATGTTTGACCACAATATACTAAACTCAAATGACAAAGTGAGACTTTTTGCCTGATCACTCGATCAGTCCCTTGCTGTTCGTTAGAGCGTAATGCTTTCTTGAGAGGATGACTTTTGCTTTGAATATTCTTGATTGCAAAAACTAGGTTGTTTCTTGTCAAAGTGCCCAATATAAGATGGACAAAAACAACCTAGTTGTAAGCCATTGGTTGAACTCTTTGCACCTCTGCTGTCGTGTCCACCTACCATAGGTGTGGCAGCTTTACAGTTGCACTCCATTGACACCTGGATGACTCTTACTTGAGGGATCAGGTCGCTCTACCAGATTTCATAGTTTGTTAATTCATCAAAACATTAGAATATAACACAACATGTTACTAATATTAATAAAACCTTACCTTATTAAAAAAGTAGGAAGGACTTGTTTGATGTACATACCATAATGCTACTGTAGCTGACAGCTTTGTATCTGTTGTCTGTTTTCAAGGGGCATCACCACTTTATTTCCTTATGGATAAGGTGTTAGAAAATGAATGGGCTAACAGGTTTGAGACAATGTAAAGATTTCTGCAATGCTCAATTTTTGCAGGACGACTCTTGGAAATTATGCAGAAACATTGTTCCCTGATTGTTGTGAATGAATGAAATATTGATCTTGAATTATTTTTATTTGCATAAGTTGTTGATCATTAATTCATTTTCAACTGCAATTTAGCCTAGTGGCAAAAGAAGAAAAGTTGAACCAAATCAGAAATTGAAATCTAAAAGTTTTAATTGTAGAGCACAAACTTTCTTAAGTTTTATGCTGTCAATGTGAGCCTATTCTAGACAAAACTTTAAACTGTCAATTTGTCAAGTCATGCCTGAGTATCCACAATCCATTTTCATGTTATACTTTAAAGTGCAGAACTCAGGAGAAGCATCATAATTTCTTGTTTAGCTACTCAACAGCTTTTCTCTTGCCTTAACCTCAGTGAAGCTTCTTGATTGGGGAGAAGAAGGCCAGAGATCTCAGGCTGAGGTTTCTTCAGTCAGAACAGCTTTTTCACAAGAAGTTTCCGTTTGGCACAGACTTGATCATCCTAATGTCACAAAAGTAAGATACTTATTTCACCAACACAATGGGTCTTTACTCTCTTTGTCAATCTTCCTTCTTCTTCGTGGTAATATATACTACATTGAAAAAACAGCTTTTGTCATCCTGCCGCCACAAAATAGAAAATGGATGCAAATTTCTGTAAATGATGGTGTTATATATGTTTGAAATTGCTTTCGTAAGTTCTACCTATTACCAAAATAATATAAAATTAAAACTAATTACAAAAAGCTTTGGGTTCAGTAGTAATCCAAATTACTCTTTGAATTCATTGCTCCATATCTAACTGAAATATGAAGGAGGTTTATTGATTCTTGAATTGGTCACAACATTATGAAGTTTAAGTAAAAATTAATTTCCATAGCAAATCACAACATTTTGTCCAAGTGGGCTGTTTTCTGAATAATTTTGTATTTAGTTTTGACATAGATGTGTTAAAGTGGCATGGGATCTTTAATTTGATGCTTTGAAAATCTTTATCTGGAGCTCTTAAGTGTTCGGCTTGCAAGAATATTAAAAATCTGGGATGATTAGACATTTCTAATGGCTAATCCTTTTGCAGTTTATAGGAGCTGCAATGGGCACACAGGATCTTAACATACAGACTGAGAATGGTTTCATTGGCATTCCACGAAATCTTTGTTGTGTAGTGGTTGAATACCTTCCTGGGGGTACTCTCAAATCATTTCTCATCAAGAACCATAGGAGGAAATTGGTCTTCAAAGTTGTGGTCCAACTGGCGCTGGATCTAGCACGGGGGTGAAATTTCATAATGCTTACTCTTTTTTCATATTTGTTAACAGCATGTGTTTGACACTTCCATGTTCAAAATCCATTCTTAGGTTAAGCTATCTTCATTCTGAGAAGATCGTCCATAGGGATGTCAAAACAGAGAACATGCTTCTTGACAGGAATCGTACTCTAAAAATAGCTGATTTTGGTGTTGCTCGTGTTGAAGCTTCAAATCCTAATGATATGACTGGTGAGACTGGAACCCTAGGTTACATGGCACCTGAGGTATGTGCTTGACTTATGAAACTCACATGCGTCATACTTAAATATATGTTGTCTCCTCTCATTAACTTTCCTTCTACTTATCTTTATCATGGTGTACAGGTTCTTAATGGCAACCCCTATAACCGGAAGTGTGATGTATATAGCTTTGGCATATGCCTCTGGGAGATATATTGCTGTGACATGCCATATCCAGATCTGAGCTTCTCAGAAGTGACAACAGCTGTTGTCCGACAGGTAGAAATATATATACTGAAATAAAGTGAATACACGTCTTTGTTCGTTGAAGAGCAAAAAATGTTTGAAAGTCACAACTCTACTACGAATTTGCAGAATTTGAGGCCAGAGATACCTCGTTGTTGCCCTAGTTCTTTGGGAAATGTAATGAAGCGGTGTTGGGATGCTAGCCCTGACAAACGACCAGAAATGGACGAAGTGGTAACCTTGTTGGAAACAATTGACACTTCAAAGGGGGGTGGGATGATCAAAGATCAACGAAAGGGATGCCTATTCTTCAGGAAACGAGGTCCTTGAGAAGAGAATCTCCAGATAGAAATGGCTCGCAGATTAGAACTGTGGATCTGGATTTATTGAGGAGAAAATAATGAAAAAACAAGGAGCATAGTTTTATTAGAAGATTTAAGATGTCAAGTTTTTAGGAATTGGAAGTTAAAGTTGGTTAGGTAAAAGAAGCTCAGATATATACATGCATTCATTCATCAGCTAATGCATGTACAGCTCTGTACCTTTTCATCTTTGAAATCAATTGTCTTTTAAACACAATTGACCGGTTGGTCCTAGTTTGAGCAAGCTCCAACCTACGCAAGGTAGAACATCTAGCAGCGGTGGATCCAAGATTTAGACTTGATGATTTCAATGTTTAATGTTTTACTAGCACTTAACACATTATACTTTTAAATTTGTGTTTGGAATGTAATATTTGTTGAATTTTAGTGGTTCTTTTTACGTACATATTTACGTTTCGTGTTGAAAATACTGAGTTCAAGTGAATCCGTTGTTCAAAAGTTCCGTCTTCCACTAAGGTCTAGTAATTGAAAAGCAGGAGTTAGTTCGCATGCACTCTGTAGAACTCATGTATTTATGATAGAACTTCCACACCTTTCTTTTTTTTTAAAAAATAGGAGACTAAATCTTCTTGCATATGAAGAGAAGAGAGTGTGATGTAAAAGATCATTGAACCATAATATTTATTTATCTTTCTTAATAAGAAGCTTGGATGGTCACTTTTAACTTTTGGGTGATTGGTCACCAACTCACCATAATCTTGTTTTGACATATAGAAATCTTTTAATATATCTAGTTAGTTTTCATAGTCATTATTCCCAGGAATATAATTTATAGTACCTATTAAAAGACATGGAAGATGTATGCTTTTAGAAAGAAAAAATAATAATTGAAAATCAATATATAATTATTGAGTTCTCAGGCAAATTTTTTTTTCTTGTTCTTTAATTTGTTTATTTTTTCTTTTTATTATTCGTCACTAATCGAATTTAATAAGGTCTTGTCTTGAGTATGAATATTTGATATATATTATGGAACAAATAGTCAAATTTATATTTTCTAATAACTGATTATATCATTTTATTTTAGCAGTTTCGTAATTTTTTTTAATCTTTTTTTTTTTTTGCTCTCGTGATTCTTCATTAACTGCTAGAAAGTGTCAGATTTGAGTTGTGAACTCGTGATAAGTCGTAGGATCCGAAAATTAGAATCAAAGTGAAAAAGAAAAACACACATATAAGTTGGTTGTTATGTTGTCCTTAGAGATTCGATCACATTGTTGGTTAATTTCACCTATTGAAGTTGCTAACAAAGCTGAGATAAATTTTTCATATGTTATGACTTTGTCTAAGGGTGTCAAATGGGTGGATTGGATTGAAATTAGGGCAAAGGACATAAATCACATACTTTTAAGGTAAAATTATCATTTGTCCCTTATAAGTTTATAATTACAGAAATCCCTCAAACGGATACAATATTATAAGCGCTGAAACATTAATCTGATGCGCGAGATACATTAATCGTTAAGTAAGATACATTATATTTTATACATGATACACTAATTTGATGTACATTTTATACATGATACACTAATCTGATGCGCGAGATACACTAATCTGATGTGCAAGATACACTAATCTGATGTGCAAGATACACTAATCTGATGTGCGAGATACATTAATCTGATGCGCGAAAATGAGGAATTTTGGGGATTTGTAAAACTAATAGGGGATAATGGTAATAAGAGAACTTAAAGGTGGGATTTCTGTCATTTTTCCTTGAAATTAAAGATATTAAAATAGGTTGAAATAAAAATCGGGTTGGGTCCTGATCTGCCCAAGTTTACTTTGGGCTCAAATAAGCTAAAAACGGGTTGAGTCTTGACCCGTTCAATTTGACCCGCTTATTATCAATAATTTTATGTGAAATTAAGCTCACGTCCCATAAAAGCAAAATAATTACAAATAAATACCCTTTTTCCAGTTTATACCTCAAAACTAACGATATTGGGGAAGGATCTCCTCTGCAATTACAATCTCTTCCCAAATTCTCTTGTTCTCCTTCTTCATAAATTCTTCTTCTTCTTCGGTTTTCCTTTCCTAGTACCCCTTCTTCCCCACTTTTCCTTCTTCTCCACTTCTCATTCTTCCCTGATTTTTCTTCTTCTCCAATTCAAATCAACACTCGATTCCCTCCTTCTATATAAATTTTGAATTAGAAAATGAAAAGCTACATAATGCAATCTGCGTTCACTTATTTGTAATTTACTAATGTAGAAAACTTAGTAAACAACTTTCATGAATTAAGTTCATTTTTAAGAATTTATTTTTTTGCTCTCGTGGAACATGAAAAACGTCTTTGTTAGTACTACTCTTGAGGACTTAGGTGCTAATGGGCAATTGTCAACTACCCAACAAATGATGGAGTAAGTTACCTCTTGAATAGTTATTTCAATTACGACACAAGGTCAGGACTCACCATGGACATTCTGAAGTAGATATTTAACCTTTAGCAACACAGCATGATCAGCCTCTTTATTTGTTGTATCAAGCACGCACACATTGAGGAATAATCATACATTTAGGGGAAATTTCACATATACTATATATACTATGATGATATCATAAAGGTTTTCTAAGTCATTTGATGGTATATGAATGATATACTATCACAGTATATTCATATATTATCATGATATTGAAATAGTATTGTAGACACATAAATTGTATTGGATCAAATTCATACAAAATTTGAATTAAGTCCATGTTCATTTGGGTTGAATGATTAATTTGGGCTTTACAAATAAATAAGTCCATCTTATTAAATTCAAGTTCAAGGTCCATTTCACCTTGAAGCCCAAACTCATGCCACGTGTCACGGTGACTAGGCATCCAAGACCAACAAGGTGACGCCACGTGTCCAAATGAGGTGGTAGTCTCAGTCAAATGCAAGAACCAATCACAACATGCCAAGTGTCAAAATGACATCCTTTGGCTAATCATATGCAACCTTGTCCACCCCCTACAACTATAAATAGGGGATGTACATGACATTCTAAGGGGATGAAGAAAGCTCTTCAACAAGCATTCTGCAATTGGAGGAAGCTACACCATCAACTACATAGCTTTTCGAAGGAGTCATCAACGGAGTTCTTCCCGGAGATCGACTTGAAACGACAAAGCGCTTTTTGACGTTCCCGGAGATCGACAACATCTCAAGGAGGTCTACATCATCCAATATTTCAAGAAATACGCTACTGAAGGCCCTCGAATCTTGGAGAATCTTAGGAGAGAGAATCAAGAGAATAACAAAATTGTACTCACAACGATTCATCAATAAAAATAACATTTTTCTTTTATTTATTTTGCTTGCAGTCGATTTTCAACGCATAAGGAAATTTGTTGCGAACAAATTTGGCACGCCCAGTGGGACCGATTCTGCTTTTCATCTCTTTCTCTTGCAAATCAGAAACTACAAAGGCAACTACTGCAATGGCCTTCAGAAAAAGTAGCGAATTTTCATACAAGGACTCTACTGATGTCGTATCTGCTGATCTCAGTCATGTTGGCCCGATTACTCGGCGTAAGTTCAAGAACAGTGGGCTAGATGGATCTGAATACTTCACTTCTTTAGAGGCGATGAAAAATAACAACTCTCATACGATAGTCGTAAGTGCAACACCTAGGGGCAATCTTGCGTCTGTGTTCTTTGAAGAATTTTCTCAAATTGGCTCCAACTTTGGTGAATCTGAAGATTCAATGGATGCTCCAACTTCAATGAATGTCAATGCTTTGATGGCTGACTCAACTGACATGGACAAGAAGTTTGCGATGATGGAGCAAACCATTGAGGCCTTGAAGAAATCCGTTGATGACAAAAATCTTCATATTGCTCAACTTATGAACAAGTTGGAGGCCTTCACACCTGGAGAGTCAAGTCATGTCCCCACTTGTCCATCTGGTTTTGATCAACAAAACAAGGACGTTGAGGAATCTCTATCAAAGTCAAAATTTCAAAATGAGAAACAATCTGCTTCAGTTGCTGCACTATCTGTCCAACAGTTGCAAGACATGATAACAAACACTATCAGGGCTCAATATGGCAGAACACCACAAAGTTCCTTATATTACTCCAAGCCATATACCAGACGAATTGATTGTCTATCAATGCTAACAAACTATCAACCACCAAAGCTACAACAATTTGATGGCAAGGGGAACCCAAGGCAACATATCGCTCACTTTGTTGAAACTTGTAGCAATGCTGGAACACATGGTGACCTTTTGGTAAAACAGTTTGTTCGTTCGCTGAAAGGGAATGCATTCGACTGGTATATCGACCTGGAACACGAGTCTATTGATAGTTGGGAGCAGCTCGAGAAGGAATTCCTCAATCGTTTCTACAGTACTCGCCGAACTGTAAGCTTGATAGAGTTGACCGGTACTAAGCAAGGAAAGGATGAGCCTGTGGTGGATTACATCAATCGTTGGAGATCGTTGAGTCTGGACTGCAAAGATCGTCTTTCTGAAATATCTGTTGTGGGAATGTGCATTCAGGGTATTCATTGGGGACTTCTATACATACTACAAGGAATCAAACCGCGAACTTTTGAGGAACTTGCTACACGAGCGCATGACATGGAGTTGAGCATCGCAAGTCATGGGAAGGCATCTCCTTTTGCTGATCTGACAAAGGAAAAGAAAGAGTTCAAGAAAGGTATGACCTCAAAGATCCAGACTAAGGAATCTATGGCGGTGAAAGCAACTTTTGTAAAAGTCACCACCAAGAGTAAACTAAAAGAGGAGGAAGCCCCAAGTCAATATCCAAAGGAGGAGAGGTGACGCCCGACCTTGAAGGAGTTAGAGGCAAAGGTCTACCCATTTCCAGATTCAGATTTACCTATGATTCTTGATGAATTACTAGCTAAGAAAGTTATTGATTTTCCTAAATCAAAGAGGCCTGAAGAAATCAATAAGGTTGGTGATCCTAGATACTGCAAGTTCTATCGTGTCCTTAGCCACCCGACGAGAAAATGTTTTATCTTGAAGGAGAAAATCATGATGTTAGTAAGTGAAGGAAAAATCATCATTGACCATGATGAAACAACGGAGGCAAATCATGCTAGTGTAGCACCAAATCAAAAGAAGTGCTCAAGGTCCACTTTCTTGTAATTTGGAAGTTTAACGCCTATTGAAGTTGATTTTCCAAGGAAAACTCTTGAGGGTTCACTAGAGATAGACAACCACAAAGAAAATGAAGCTGATGGTTGGACTTTGGTTACTCATAAGAAGCGGAGACATCAAGCAGTCTTTAGGATACGACTTTCTAAGACAAGAGCAATAATGAGTGATGTGAATCAACTGCAACCATCAAAAAACGTCAAGCCTTGTACTAGCCAAAAGATCAATGGTTCTTCATCGTAGAAGGTTCGAAGGCCCATTACATTGGATGAATTCTTTCCTGAAAAAATTCTTTTGTGGTAGTCAAATTGGTGCAACACATGTTATTTCCAGCACAGACGAAACAAAGAGAAGCAAATGTGAGCGTATTCTAACAATAACACAAGAACATCAAACAGATGAAAAAGTTACCCCATGTTGTGCTATAATTGCCTTCACAGATGATGACTTGTTGTTAGGGTCTAAGCTACATAATAGGCCCTTGTTTGTTGTAGGGTCTATTCGAGAGCAACATCTCAATCGCATACTAATCGATGGTGGTTCGGCAGTCAATATCATGCCAAAAGTTGTTCTGAAAATACTTGGGATCTCTATTGATGAATTGTCCAAAAGTAACCTAACAATCTAAGGTTTCAATCAAGGAGGACAATGATCCATAGGAAAGATTCGCGTAGGACTGTCCATTGGCGACGTGAAATCAAACACTTTGATTCATATCATAGATGCCAAAACATCATACAACTTGTTGTTGGGACGTCCTTGGGTTCATGAAAATGGAGTGGTGCCATCTACTTTGCATCAATGCATGAAGTATATGAAAGATGGTGAAGTAGTCAAAATTGATGCAGACATCAATCCTTTCACTGAGACGGAGTCATATTTTGCAGATGCAAAATTCAATTTAGATTCTAGAAAATCAAATATGGAGAAAGATGCAGCAGCCGACTCGATCTATCTCGAAGATAGTAAAGTTCAATGGGCCGCTATCAAGATATCTAAGAAGAGAACGGAAAAGGTTTCCATTAATCTTTCACCATCTAAAGGAGACATGCAGGCCAATGTTGATGATGAGCAACCAATTTTTTGTTATATTCCACGTGAACGTCGAAAAAAGGGACAACCACTGCTACAGGAATGTACTCAACAAGTTCACCCACCGAGGAAAGAATTGAGTCACACAACATTCCAAGATTTGAAGGAGAAAATGACTGTCCCAGTTGCACAAGTCTCATCTTTCACTTTGGAGCCTTCCAAAGGAAATACCCAAGTTGGTCAGATAAAAGGGAACTTTGATCAAAAGGTCTTCACATTATTTGAAAAATCAGGTTACAACTTCTCAAATCCAGCAAAGTTAGGAGAACTCATGGAGGAAGTCACCGGTGAAAAGATACATAGGCTTACAAAGTCTCAAACGCGGTTGAGAGAAAAAGGATATTATGTCGCCACTCCTAAGTTTGGGTTAGGATTCAGCTTGCCGGAGCCTCTTCGGATTTCATCTAAGAAGGGGAAAGAAATAACTTCATCTCACTATATCTCTATAGAGAAGACGAAGGAATCTAAGGAGGGTAAAACACCACAACGGGCTTCGGTGTTTGAACGCATTGGAATTGACACCATGTGTCTCTGCATTTGAAAGATTGAGCTGCAAGGATGAAAGAGGATCCTCTAAGCAAGTGGACGAATATGCCACCACCTCAAAGACTTCTGTATTTCTTCGCTTGGGAACCAAAAGAAAGTCATTATCCGAACGAAGGTTGCTGGAGCATGAAAATCAAGATTCTTGTGATATAACTGATGACAAAGAGATTTATAGTGTTTTCCCATCACGTATGAAGAGAAAGAATGTATTGTCAATCACCACCGATGGTTTTTTGAGGGTGAAAAGAAGCACAATTGTTGTCACCAATCAATTTCATGAAGAAACTAATAAGGAGGAAGATGAAACCGTCACAGTGGAAAGTCAGATGGAAGATTCAAACTTGACAGAATCATCCTATCACATAATAATGGAAGAAGGTCCAGACATTGATGATACAGATGATGATGTCCAAGAGGCTCCCCCTCAACTGGAGGATGGCGTACAATCAATCGTAGACGACCTCAAGGAACTAAATCTAGGCACCCTAGAAGAGCCGCGTCCAATCTTCATTAGTGCACTTCTTACACCAGAAGAAGAAAGGAAATATTTCAAGTTATTGGTTGAGTTCAAAGACGTTTTTGCTTGGTCGTACAGAGAAATGCCGGGCCTTAGTCCCAGGATAGCTATTCATCATTTGGGGATAAAAAAGTGAACACGTCCTATAAAATAGTCACAACGAGTGTTTCGTCCTGAGTTGGTAACACAAATTAAAACGGAGGTCAACAAGCTCATCGAAGGCGGATTTATTCGAGAAGTGAAGTACCCATTGTGGATCTCAAATATTGTACCTGTTAAGAAGAAGAATGGTCAAATACGTGTCTGCGTTGATTTTTGAGATTTGAACAAGGCATGTCCAAAAGATGACTTCCCTCTGCCAATCATTGAGCTCATGGTTGATGCTACAATCGGGCATAAAGCTATGTCATTTATGGATGGATCTTCTGGATATAATCAAATCAGAATGTCTCCAAAAGATGAAGAATACACTGCCTTCTGAACTCCAAAAGGAATTTATTGTTACAAAGTGATGCCCCTTGGTCTAAAGAATGCTGGAGCCACCTATCAACGTGCAATGCAAAACATATTTGATGACATGCTTCATAAGAGGGTGGAATGTTACGTCGATGACTTGGTGGTAAAGACGAAGCAAATGGAGCACCATCTTGAAGACCTTCGAATTGTTTTTGAAAGGTTAAGGAAATTTGACTTGAAGATGAATCCACTCAAATGCGCATTTGGGGTTACCTCAGGAAAGTTTCTTGGCTTCATCGTTCATCACCGTGGAATTGAAGTTGATCCCGCAAAGATTGATGCCATCCAAAAAATGCCTGAGCCAAAAAACTTGAGAGACCTGTGTAGTCTACAAGGAAATTTGGCATTCATTCAGAGATTCATTTCTAACCTGGTTGGACGATGTCAACCTTTCAACCATTTAATGAAGAAAGATGCTCCTTTCCACTGGGACCAATCATGTCGAAATGCCTTTGAAAGCATCAAGAGATACTTGGTGAATTCGCCTATATTGAGGGCACCAACTCTTGGAAAGCCATTGATACTGTACATTGCATCGCAAGAGCGATCACTTGGGGCACTTCTTGCTCAAGAGAATGAAGCTAAGAAGGAACAAGCATTGTACTATCTGAGTCAGACCTTGATAGGAGTTGGGTTGAATTATACTCCCATTGAGAAGATGTGCTTATCATTGCTTTATGCGATAAGAAAATTGAGGCATTATTTTAAAGCGTACACTATCAAGCTAATTTCTCGGGCTGATCCTGTAAAGTTAGTAATGACTCGACCAGTTCTCTCAGGACGTCTAGCAAGATGGTCTATATTGTTTAATCAATATGAGATCATTTACACACCTCAAAAGGCTGTGAAGGGGCAAGCACTTGCTAATTTCCTTGTTGATCACCCTCTTTCGGGAAAATGGGAAACTTCAGCTGAGTTCCCTGATGAAGATGCATTTCTTACTGAAAAGTTGCCAACATGGACAATGTTCTTTGATGGATCTGCACATCGAGATGGTGCAGGGGCGGGAGTCGTGTTGATATCTCCAGAACAACTAATCTTACCATTTTCATTTGTTCTAGGTGAAACCTGTTCCAACAACGCCGCAGAGTACCAAGCTTTGATTGTGGGCCTTGAAATGGCATTAGATATGAAGATTCCTCAATTGGATGTCTACGGTGACTCTCAATTGATCATTAATCAACTCTCGGGGAGTTACGAGGTAAAAAATGAAGATCTTTTGTCATATCACCAATATGCTACTTTCTTACTTGAAAGGTTTGATCAAGTGTTCTTAAATCACGTCCCAAGAGAAGAAAATCGCATGGCAGATGCTTTGGCTAACTTGGCTACAACAATGTCACTCGGAGAAAATGAGACAACAAAGGTGAGTGTATGTCATCGATGGGTTATTCCTGGTCGTCTTGATCTTCAAATCGATGAAAGCCATCATACATCAGTTCGAGTGGTTGAAGAAGAAGATTGGAGAAAACCACTGGTTGAGTATCTTGAACATGGAAGACTGCCTGAGGATCCACGAGTTAGAGCAGACATTAAGACAAGAGCACCACGATTCATCTTTCACGATGGGATACTATTTCGTCGTTCTTTTGAGGGACTATTCTTGCGGTGTCTTGACAAAGAAAAAGCTCAACAAACAATGGATGAGGCACATTCTGGCACATGTGGAGCACACCAATCAGGGCCTAAACTTCATTTTCGCATCAAGAGGATGGGCTACTATTGGCCAACAATAGTGATGGACTGCTTAGGGCATGCAAAAAAGTGTCAAGCGTGTCAATTCCATGCTAATTACATCCATCAATCTCCAGAGGCTTTGCATCCGACTGTAGCCTCATGGCCCTTCGATGCATGGGGACTTAATGTTGTTGGACCTCTTCCAAAGTCATCAAAAGGACAAATGTATATCTTGGTTGCCACTGACTATTTCTCTAGATGGGCTGAAGTTGTACCATTAAAAGAGGTAAAGAAGGAAAATGTTGTTGATTTTATCAAATCAAACATAATTTTTAGATATGGCATACCAAGATGTATAGTTACTGATAATGGAACACCCTTCAACAATAAACTCATGAGTAGCTTGTGCGAGAAGTTCAGTTTTAAGAAACAAAAGTCTTCAATGTACAATGCACCTGCCAATGGTCTTGCTGAAGCTTTTAACAAGACATTTGGTAACCTGTTGAACAAAGTAGTTGGAAAGAATAAAAGAGACTGGCATGAGAGAATTGGTGCAGCTTTGTGGGCATATCGTACAACCTTTAGAACAGCTACGCAAGCGACTCTGTTTTCATTAGTGTATGGCATAGAAGCAGTCCTTCCATTGGAGAAGCAAATTCCATCATTGCGAATAGCAATCCAAGAGGGACTCACAACTGAAAGTAATGCTCAACTTCGTCTAGCAGAGTTGGAGGCATTGGATGAAAAGAGATTGGAAGCACAACAAAGGTTGGAGTGTTATCAAGCTCGACTTGCAAGAGCATTCAACAAGAAGGTGAGACCTCAATCATTTCAAGTGGGAGAGTTGGTCTTAGCAGTCCGGAGACCCATAATCCTCAACAAACGCATCGGTGACAAATTTACATCGAAATGGGATGGGCCGTATGTTGTGAAGGAAGCATACTCAAGAGGCGCTTATAAAATTGTAGACCAAGATGGTGTAAGAGTTGGTCCAATCAACGCTAAGTTTCTGAAGCAATACTTCCCATAAAGGTTGACTACGCTCCTTAAGGTATGAGCATAAACTGCATGTTACTCCTGGCCCGCAAGAGTTTAAACTGTGTACGGCCCAAAATAAAAATAAAATAATAATAATAATAATAATAAAACTCATCATCCTGAACTACGATATGACTTGATCCTCTTCACCGAGGTACGTAGGCGCTTGGAGTAATCACTCTAAGCTCAGTCAAATGAGTAAAAATAAAAAAAAAAGTTTGGTGGCCTTGCGTGATTATCACACTAGCTCTTTAAATTTTTGTAGCTAGCACATGAGTTCAAATGCATCACAAATGAGCAAAGGAGAAGATTTTTGGAGCCTACTTCCCAACGTGAAAATTGGCTCGTGATTCAGATATTTCTTCGCTAACTTGTGAATTTTCTTCACGGCCACTCAAAGCTGAAAAATATATATATTATATTTTGGAGTTGATCTGAGCATTTCAAATGCCTATTAGTGGGAATTCATAAAGATCTTGATCATCATTGTTACACACATTGAAGTTCTTGAATCCCTCTCCGCAACAAAAGAAGAAGCTTGTAATACTGAGACTCCTACATCGAGTCATGGATCTTCAACTGTGATCGTTCAAAGTTGCATATCAAGCATGCTAAATTTGGAAGTCAACTTCGGGTATTAATCTGATCAATTCAAAGGAATTTTGATTTGAATCATTGATATGTGACAGGCCGAGGAATTCATTGGATCAAGCGACTTGCGATTCTAGTTGAGTTTTTTGCTTATGGCGGAGATAATTTTGTGTAATTCACTGATGCTTCAGTAAGTTACTCAAAATTAGGGGCATCTTTACCTATAACATCAAATCGGGATACTCTTCGGATCAAAGCTCTATGTTGAAATGGTATAGCCACAAAGATCATGATGTGAACACTCCAAGTTCAAGAGACAATCTTTTGTTGTTGTCAAGAGCGCACAAAGTTGAGGAAATGGCATTTTGGGCGTATAGTCAACTTGAAAATTTTATTCTCATCAATTTGGAATGAATTTTGTTGTAACTTCAATAAATAGTGTTTTTCCTGATGCGCTCGTCAAAATGAAATAAGAAGCTCATGCTGTCACCACTCTTACAATGAATTTTGGATTTCACACCGAAGATGCGCTCCTCAAAATGAAATAAGAATCACATAGTTTCAGAATTCAAGCTAACTTCGAAAATATATTTGTATAAATCTGGAGATCTTTTGACCATGATTTTTATAAATGTTGTATTTCTATAAGTTATGCTTCCCACGGAAAAAGGATCGCATCATTCTGAGGCTCCTACACCGAATTGTTGACTTTCTCCCAAAGTTGTTCAAAGCTGAAGAGTTTAGTGAGGCAGAATTTGAGCTGACTTTGAAAATATATCTGTGCTAATCTGGAAATCTTTTGGCTGTGATTTTTACATATGTTGTACGTCTATGAGTTATGCTTTCAACGGAATAAGAATCACATCATTTCAAGGCTCCTACGCCGAGCTATTGATTTTCTCCCAAAATTGCTCAAAGCTGAAGAGTTCAGGGAGACAGAATTCGAGCTAACTTTGAAAATATATCTGTACTAATCTCGAAAGCTTTAGGACGTGATTTTTATAAATGTTGTACGTCTATGAGTTATGCTTCCAAAGGAACAAGAATCGCATCATTTCGAGGCTCCTACGCTGAGTTATTGATTTTCTCCCAAAGTCGCTCAAAGCTGAAGAGTTGAGCGAGGCAGAATTTAAGTTGAGTTGAAAAATACATCTATACTAATCTGGAGATCTTTTAGCCATGATTTTTACATATGTTGTATTTCTATGAGTTATGCTTCCAAAGAAAGAAGAGTCATGTTATTTCGATGCTCCCACATCGAGTTATTGGTTTCCTACTGCAGGTGCTCAAAGCTGAAAAGTCGGTCAAGGCAGCATTCAAGCTAACTTTGGAATAATAGTCGTAGTAACCTGGAAATCTTTCGGTCATGAGTTTCACATATATTGTATTGGTGTGAGTTATCTTTCCAATGAAATGACACACTCACTATTTGAATGTTCCTACTACGAGTTACTGAATTTCAAACATAAGAGCTCAAAGCTAAAATCTTGGGGAAAGTTGTCCGTAATATAGAGCAAGTTACAAATCACACGACAATCGTTTGAAATAGAGAAATAAAAGAAGGCATTTACGAAGAAAAAAGACAACACTTTTATTCATTCAAGAAGGACTGTCACTACATCATAGCAATGTTCCAGAAAACAAACAAGACAAAAAAAAAAAAAAAAAAAAGATACACAATAGAACAAGAAAATGAAAGAGAATATCCTTATGCAGGAAGAAGACTAAGGAAAAAGCTCATGACTAAGGATTTGGTGACGACTTGTCTCAGCCTCCTCCTTTAGCTTAGCTAGTTCTTTTATTTCTGTTTCAGACAAGGGAATGATTTTCTCTATGGCATGAATTTCATCTTCACGGTTAGTGATAGTCTCTTGATTTTTAGACAGCCTCTTTTGATGATCTTCAATAAGTGAGATGGTTTTCTTCTTCTTTGAAGTCCACACTTTTAGCTCTTTTTCAGCTTTTGCAAGGACCTTTTGAAGTTCTTCCAACCGTTTGTCCATATTGATCCTCTCCTCATTTGCGGTATCAAGACATTGTTGTGCAGCAAAAAGCAACTCTTGATGAGAATCCCTTGTTATCTTTTGAGAAGTGGACAGCCTTGCAGCATCGTAATCTCTATGTTTCTTGAAAAAATCTTCAAGAAGAACCTCTAAAGGGGAAAGATTGATGATATTAACTTCTCGAAGCCCTTTAAGAATCATGGCAACACCTGCCTCCAACTCTTTGAGGTTCTCTGAAGATTCAACAGAGAATTGAGTAATACACTCACATAAGGTACGCCACCTTCCAGAAATGTAAGATAAGTTGAAGCTGGAAATAGTCTTTTGTGGTTCAAAATTAGAGGCAATTCCCAGCAAAGGGCGGACCAAATCCCTGGAAAAATCTGAACAACCAATTTGAGAAGTTTTAACAACCTCCACATTAGTAGTTGAGATATTTTGAGAAGTTTCAACCTTTTCAGAAAAAAGGACCGTCGGCTTTGACAGTTGAATCTCATTTGCAGCTTGACTCTTAACTTCGACAAGAGGGAGGTGAGGATTTTTCGCCACATTGAGGGAATTCGAGCTTGTGATACAATCTTCAAATACATCTACGTCGCTAGGGATATCCCCAAGACCCAACTGGATAATTAAAAAAAAAAAATTAATATCTAATGATTAAAAAAAAAGGGCAGGCAAGTTTAGAGAAATATTCAAGAGATGACTTTTACCTAATGTGTCAATTCTGTCAAGGGCATTGTAGAACCAGCAGTACCATCTTCAAAGATTGCAGTATCAATACTAATGGAATCCAATTCAGCGAACTCGCATTGTTGAGTGTTCAAGTCCTTAGGCTTTTTCTTCAAACGCTTCCAGTGTAACTCTTGGCTAACATTGCTCTCATTGGAGCTAGAGGCTACACTAGTACTAATGTCAATCTCATGGAGTGAAATAGACATTTTTGACGTGTTGCTACAAGATGGTGCAATGTCGAGTGACTTTACAACACCTTTCTCCGATGAGCTGGAAGGTTTCTTCCTCTAGAGAATTACATCGATCACCTTTTTATCAGTGAGGCTGGCAGCCTTGGGAGTCTGTAAATGACCCTTAACTCCGTTATCCACATGTGTAGCCTTTCCCTTCGAACTTTTAGACTTGGAAACAACTCTGACAGATTATAGAGGGATATTTGGTGTCACCTTGGACTTTAAAGAGTGAGGAAGCTTTTCTTGAAGTTGTTCTCCTTTGGTTGGTAAAGAAACATCATCTTTTTTCGGACCTCTCAAAATTATGTGGGTACTTTGCCTTAGCAGAATCACTCGATGGGATGGCCATCACTCTGAATACTCACGAGTCATTAAAGACCCCTTATTGGATGGACGCATCGGTATGATGATCTTCGAAGGGCTCCCAAGATGAACACATGAATCCCATAGTTGCACCAAAGCTAGCATTGAACCATCATAATGGTGTTCTATGAGTGCACCAGGAACGTCTTGACAATATCCAAATTGTCGACTGAATCGGTGAGGGCTATAAGGCTCCACAATCAGTTCATCACCCAGCCTCAAAGTGACAAAACTTGAACGAAGGCCTATAAGGAAATCGCTCCAGGAAGTGGACAATTTTCCACTATCATCAATATGCAGCTCATTTCCTTGTAGCATGGCCAGATTGTGGAGGTCATGCACATTCACTTGTTGAAATAACTTGCGAGCGTCAACAAGGTCAAAATATTTTGCCATCTTTTCTCCATAAATCTGCCACATTCGCACACCTCGTTGAGGACGGGTAACACAAAAGTAGGTCTCAAAATACTCACCTATCCATCCATATACATAATGGAGGGGAAGTAATGTATTGCAAGCACCCAAGTTTGAAGAAGTGGATATATCCCTGAGGCAGCGATAGATGCTTGCTAGGACCGGAACCGCCGAAGAAAATATTTCTCCATGAGCCATCAAGCTTGCGACTTTGAAGACACTAGCACGAATACAATCATCTTTCCTGTTAGGAAGAACAAACTTGCAAAGCCAACATGCGAGAAAAGCCACCAGATAAATCTCATCTCTGAATGATTCTTCTACGCCTAGCTCGACAAAAGGAGCATTCTCTTTTTCGGTTCGAGGCAAAAAGCTCATGTCAATATTTCCAGAAGGATCATGATTCATCCTTGGTTTTGTGCAATTCTTAGACGTCCTTGGTGAAGGCTCAGCATATTTTCTCAGCCCTCTAAACCAAAACTTTGTCCATTCTCGAAAAGAGACTTCGTCGATGGCACCTTTGGTAAGTCGGTAGAACGCTGAAAACAAGAAGGAGCAGCTTCTTGGGAGAAAAGACTCCCCTTGATCATCCACATGTGTCAACTCCTTTGCTGAGGGTATAACTTCATCATAAAAGGAGCCATGATCAGGAAGAC